GCTGCTATTTTGCCTTAGCATATTTACCTGCTTTTGTCACCAAATTAAGCAGACTAAAACAAGACTAAAACCTGCCAGTGGAGGATTTCCTGTACAAACTCACGCATATCCATACGTCATTCATACACAATTAAATACATTATGGACTTTGCATAATAGATATTGACAGCAAAAATTCTCATTAGGTATGTAAACAAGATCTATGTGATCAGTCAACTTTCTCTCCTAAATATTTCAAAAGCCTCAATGAACTCTAAAAAATAGTTGTTATATAATATCTTGTTATTCTTAAAAGCTTAACTGTGCACTGTGATAAAAAAATAATTTTACTGTAGGCAGAAAAAACAAAGAACACGGATAAGCTTAGAGTGCAGTTCACAAAAGCAGGAAATGGAAATAGCCATATCACTGATCTCACAAATGGGTTATACTAAACATGAGAGAGAGATCTCTTACTCCATGAAGTTTGATTCTTTTCCATATTCTATAAGGACATGAACAAAATTGCCTTCGTCTCTTCCTTATGCCTCACCCCAAATTTGCGTTCAGCTATTGTCAGTTTATAATAAAAGCCAGAACACATACTTACTGATTTGGGTTTTGGACCTAATATTTCATCCTAGTTTATGTTCATAATGAAAATGAGACTTTTTATATTCTTCCTTTTTATAAATTACAGAAAACAAATTAAGACAATGAACCAGCAAAAAAAACCCCACAGAATTGAATTTGCCACTATGAGTCATAACAGAGCAGCTCTTCAAAGGGTATTTGACTGATGCAAACTATTCACAGCTTCTTAGAACCTATTTAGTATTAATTTACTTTTCTCTAATTAACTTCCCCCACCCCAGCATACTATGTAGCACTATTCTGACTTCTTTGCCATTTTACAAATCTTTACCTGGCTACTGTTTTGTGCAGCATAGATACTAAAGCACAACAAAAATATTTGTTATATATAGATATTAACATGATAAACTTCTTTGTAAGAAAGAGTTTTAAAATCAAAGAAAACCTTTTCCCTTCACTGTATTATTTTTTCCTTTAGAATGAACCTGAGGGGGGAATAATAAAAATAAAAATAATCAAGAAGTCAAACTATGGCAGAGTTTTTTCCTCTTACATTCACTGTGTATTACAACACACGTCAAATGAATAAATGATAATGAGTGAAATTAATTTTCAGACTTGAATCAAGAGTGCAAATTATGTACCTAAAGACGCAGGACATGTGTCACAGGCTCAGTTCTCTGTTCTACTGCTTAGTCTCAGCCTCCCTAGCTATTAATGTGACAGCATTAGTTTCTCTCCTTGTCCTTTACTTGTTCTCTTCATCTGGGCTATAAACTTTCAGATGCAGGAGGCTGCACCTTGGTGCATGTTTGTACAGCACCCAGCATAAAAAAACAGGATCTCAAATAGACTCTGAGCCCTAACTGAAGACAAGCCACTCCACAATTCCATTTTCAAAGATGTTTGACATGAAAAATAAGTATAATTGAGTTAAAAGACAGAAATGCAAGGTGCATGAGAATTTTCCCATGGGAACATATTACACTTTCTTATTTGCAATGTCCTGATACTATTTTCTCGGTAGGGCTTAATTTAACTTTGGTCTCTAAAGATTACATACGCTGGGGATCTATCAATGGAAGGCATTTCCTTGGCTTTTTGGAATACATTTCTACATCTATACAAATTACGGCCAAGTAATAAGCAAGCAAAAAGTCATACTGCACTTCAACTTTCCGTGTTCCACTTTCACACAGGTACTTTCAAATTTTTTCTTTATTGGAAAGTAGTATAAAGATACTGTTAATTATTTTCTTAAAAGAGCAGGGCTAGCTGATTGTACATCAGTCACTGAAATTAAATACAGCTTTTAGAATTAATATATTTTTACTGCCACATATGATTTTCACTGCAGTAAGATACAGAAACAGATTTTTGAAGAGCACTGTGGTAATACTCAGAAATCCCAGTACTAACTACACTGTGTGTTATGCAAACACTGAATATGCTCTCTGCTTAGAAACTTCATCTCCTTCAAGTGTTAATGAATACAATATTTGTAAACACATCAAAGATAAATAGGAAGCAAATATAAGTTTAAACATCAGAGAAAAGTTGTGTAATGACAGCTCACTGGATGCCAAAGACTAGTGTTTGTAACTTTCCTTCTTGTTGCTTCTTGTAAAGCATTGTTATAATTATTGCTCCCATGGCTGCAAGCTGCCAACATATTCTTTTGATGATACTCAAGTATAGACATCTAAGCAGCACTAGAGTTTCATTTCTTCTGTACTGTGTAAGCAGCATTTGTCAAATTATGCTTTACACACATTAGAAACAACTGCTCCATGAAACACAGAGGTATCAATAGATTAAAAATTGTGATCATATAAGCATTGACATTAGAGAGATACAGCTGTAATCAACTGGAAGAACTAGTGAGAATGTCAGTAACAACTGTTCACCACACTAGCATATGTCTTGTGCTATTTTGTGTTAAAAACGACCATAGTCCCAAAAAGGACTACAGCATATGGGCAAATCCCCATTCATTATCATCAGAGTCATTCCACAGTGACTCTTCTGCTTCTCCTTCAGCATGTTTCTACATACCAGATTCCCCTGTTCAACTGACCTAAAACAGGCCTCTTCTTTTACTTCTTTCTATCTGAACTCAACGTATAACAAGTAACTTCCCCCTGTTATGACAAGAGCTTTTTCCCAGATCTCACTGAAAGAAGTTATATGGGGTGGGGACTGGAGTAAAATGGGAAGAGAAGGTGTTAAATAACTACCCTTTTCAGATATGATGCTTCTTTAAATCAGTATTCTCATCTGTTTGCCTGCAGTTGGGTGCTAAAAGAATGACAGTAATAAAATCACTCAGCTGCCCACACAAAAAAAAAAAATAATAAAATATTCTTCTTTAAAGAAGAAACCAGGAGTTAAATTAGGACAACTCAGGTTTAGTAAACTAGATTTAACTAAGCAGCACATTGTCAATCCACTCTTAGGGTTCTTCCTGTGCTTGTCACTCCAGCTGCATAGACTACATTTTCAGTGACATCCCTGGCACCCTCTGGAGACATTACTTAAGGTGAAGTCAGAATCCAATGTAATCCTGCACCTTTTACAGTCTCACATTGGACTTTCTTCCCCATCAGCCTGCAGGGGCCACAATAGTTTCCACAAAAAAAGATTTTAAAATGCAAATTGAGGGGGCATTGTGACCTCCAGAACATAAAACAGGACATAGAAATCCAGTTCCAGCTTTGACACTAAAAACTAATGGGAGAAGGTTGCTGTTCAGGGGAGGTTAGAGGTGGGAGTAGCACACATTGAAAAACCCTTACTTGAATCTCAAAGCATTCTGGTTGCCACTGAAAACCAGAGCAAAAACTTGCATGTTCCAAACACCAGTTTAACTTCTATGCTTTTTAAATTAGCAAGGCATAATGTAAGCTGTGCAAGAAAGATCTTGTCAAGAAAAAATGGAAAAAGCATAAAATTTATACTTTCACCACTCTGCTTACTTGATTATGTGTTTTGCACTTTTGACACACACCACTCACTCTCAAAAGCTTTGTGAAAGTGAAATTACTAACAAAGAAGAATAAGTGAAGCAACAGAGAAATGGCCTGTTCAGTTGTCGGGCATTTAAATGCACCAATTTATTACCTGAACTTATTTTTCTTATTTTGTTCAATGATTTCTAGAGACAGCAGGTAGTTTAATGCTGTATGTTATCAGATTCTTCAATTGGAACAATTGTAATAGTGAATTGGAGCAGAGGGGCTATAACTAATAATGCACTCAATCTAACAGGGTTAATTGTAAACAGCTTTTGCTAGACTAACAAAGATATGTACAAAGGTGTACCTGGATTAAACCACTCAGCCACTCTAATAGTCAGTCTCATTCCACTCTTACCTGTGCTGCCTTTCCTCCACTCTAATCCTCTCCATATAATCATCGTACACCTTTCTTCTGGGTTAATTTTCTGTCAGTTTAGTGAGCTTAATTGGCCAGTCCAGGAATCACTCCGATGCAATGGAAATGGCAGGCATGTATTGCCTATATATTGCCTGGAGTGAGACTGTACATTTCAATGGCAACTGTGTTTTAGACCAGTTCTCATAGAACTTTTTTCATAAGCATCCTGTCTCTTCTAAACTGCACAGCTTTCAACTCCCTGGTTCTTGTTATGTTATTTGAAACACTTAATTCAATTGTCATATTCTCTTCCACTGAATTTCACAGTGGAGAAACTGGAAATAAGGAAAAATGAAAGTAAGGAGAAAGAAATCTACCCTCTCTTTTCCCCTTCAGAAACATCAAAGACTGTGTACATGTATTAAAAACAATATTTCTTTTTCCCTTTTTGTGTCATGTTTTGGTTTTAGCACTGTTAAACTCACTGATCTTTTTTCAAATCAAATTCAATTTAAAAAGTGCATGCATGTGATACTAATGCTGTGAAATTATGCAAATGTAAAAAAAAATACATGTTCCTTAAACTTCCAGCATAGTTGATGTCACCCTGAACACATCCTGCTAATCTAATACCTTAAAATAATAATTTTTCTGAAGGAAAAGACTAATGAAATTTCAAGCTTAACTAACAGCCAACCCACGTTATGCCAGTATGATACACACCCAAGGCATTAATATTTTTACAAACCATTCCATTTTGGCATCCCCAGATCAGAGACATTAGGGACAAGAATTCTGGACAGCCTTCTTCAAGAAACTAAGCCTGACTGCCCTAATATCCTGGTTTTATTCTGTACAGTGGCAATATTTTTCCTAAGGGAACTTTATTGCAGTTGGCTTATCATGGCAGAAATGTTGTCAATAGCTGTGACAGTCAGAATTTTGCAATGAGAAGGTCAGAAGCTTAGTTTGTATCCTCCTTTGTCTGGTTAGACAGAGAGTGTTTTACCACAATTGGCTCTAGCCACTGATGGATTTGCATTCCCAAATACCTGTCATCACCGTCACTGATGCATTCAGGAAGAGCAAGACTACAGCCAAACAGCATGATGTGTCGATAGCAGCTGAGACGCTTAAGATAACTGAAGAACTTCAGGAACTTTTCCATTTCAATACTTTTGACAATGGAAAGAACTGAGGTTACAGTGGTGTAGTTATATGGCAGCATTTGGCACTGGCTGTTGGTGATACTTATGCAGGCACCTGTAGAAACAAAACAATATATTTAGAAAAAAACTATCACCATTTAATAATTAGTTCGAAGCATATATTGAATTGACTAGTCAGTATATATATGATATAAAAGTAACACCAGTAGCTCACAGATCAGATTACATTCCATAATGCTATCATAATACTGTCAAAAATTAATAACAAGAAATTAAAGAAATTGGAGAAACTTGATAGCTTAGTTTGGAAAACCAAAGAGGCTCTTAGATATTTTCGCAATCCTCTGACTCTACAAACCTGGACTAGAAATAACACAAAACCAATTTCTTTCTGACACAGGTTGGATGAACGCACCATAAGAACAGCCTGGATACAAACAAATTTGGATGAAGCAAGGAACAAAAGTCACACAGAAAAAAAAAATAAGGCTAATTGGGTTCTGAAGCTGCTCTGGTTTTGGTGTTTCCATAAAGTTTTTCTTTTTGCTACCATTCTACCTTGTATCTGGCTTTCCTGACAAAATCATAGATGTGCTTACATATTTTTAGCAAGGTGATGGTTTTACCTTCACAGACTTTCCCCTCTTTCTACCAAAATAGAATTACCTGATTTTGCAGGCTTAACACCAACAATGTCCTAAACTGTTTTCCCACTCTTGACCTACCAGAGCAACCTTTTTCTGCTGGTTCCCTGTCATGTGCAACAGGCTCTCTCAGCTATGCATGATCAGCAGGTCACTTACTACACGGAGCCCTTCAGAGTGAGTTTCACAAGCCAAACACCAAATTCAGAACTTTCATCACAAACAAACTATTAAATTATAGTATTTATGGCAGCTCCCTACTTTGATGATGGCCCTTTCTAGGCCACCCAGTCAGGCTCTAGCAATATTTTTTTCACACTTGGAGCATATCCACATTGTGCAATAAGCAGGGGCCTCAGCTCATTCTCAAGGCCAGATTCTGCAACGAGTCATGCTGGAAACAAATCGAACTCATGCTAAATGACCATCCTAACTCTAGCATTCCGAAGGGGAAAATCTCTTAAGCACATTCAGGCCTTAGCACTCCTTATTATCTGAGCAAATTGGACATTGATAGCACCAAATGGGGTAGGTCCTTTCCGTCATGGGACATTTTGGGACTGGCGAATTGTGTGGGTCATTTACACCTGGTATCTCTGGACTAATACAACCTCACATAAGAGTAGCGAAAGCAAAGCATAAATTCATTAGGGGTTTTTCAAACTGCAGTATCTTTGAAGGGATGGACAAAAAAAAGGTGGGTTTCAAATTTTATCTAAGCTTGGTAGAAAAAAAAAATCCCTATTTTTTCAGTGCTTGCTGACTTTCTCTACTTTGACTCTACTTTCAGTGCCCTTTACCTTCTTCCTCTCCAGAAATTTCAACAAAAACTAAGGAATTCAGTCTTGCTCCACTGAAATAACAGCACGTCTCTCCTCATTCTAAACAAGCTGAAACTGTGTTTCTAAGTCCCCATATTAAGATTTCCCTGATTCCCAGTACTGCCAACAAGAAATTTAGGTGCCATTGTACACTCACTTTCTGCTACAATCTCTTCTCATTCCCACAGTACAGCAACTAATGGATCTGTTCATCCAGGAATCACATTTTTCCATATATTTCAAGTACAGATTCTCAATTCAGAATTATAAGTAAATGCTGGGAGACTGGCAAACAAGTGGTAAGCCTCCAAATTAAGAGAACTTTTGTTTTCAAAAGTGACTGTGTGACTTAGCACCACATGCTTTCAGTGCAGCTCCTGCTCTCAAGTTGTTTAGTTATTTTTGAAAAATACCACCAATATTAAAGACAAAATATAAAAAGTATATTTTAGTAAGAATAACAGTATTTGCATGCGTTTTTTCTCCAAATAAACAGAAATTCTGAATAATTGCAATAGCAAACAGCCACAGATATAAGAAAAGAATGCAGCATACCTCAAAATGCCTAACTATTCTACCAAATTGTTAAATCCTGCTCCATATGTACAGACTAAGTGTGTTTTACAAACTATGTGGCCCTGCAGTGTCAGAATGCTAATGTGACTGATGGTGTAACATATTTGTACTAAACGTTACAAACTAAGCCAGAAACAGTAAAGAAGGCAAATGCTAAATACACACAGAAAACCCTAAACCTATTAACTTCTTTTCTCCAGTAAAGATTCATTAATTATGGAGAATACAAAAATACATATTAAACTGGTTTTGGCAATACCCAGGGAAAGGGAAAAAGAGCAGTGAGTGGGAATAAAAACATGTGAAAAAGCTGTTGATCAGAACAGCATGGTTCCTAATTATGTGGGTCATTTCTGACATTCATCTAAATTAAGTTTTCTGTTTATCACTGGCTATTGCCAGATGGACTGAACTGGTAAAAAAGGGCTTCCTCCTATTCCACAACTGCAATGTAAGACTACAGTTTCATATTCAGTGCTGCTGAAACTAATTTAAAAAACACATTTTCCATTTCCCACTCTTCAGATTGTTCCCAGATCGAACTACCTATGGGCTGCACAAAACTTAGCTGACTGAAGAGAATTCTTTTCCAAAAGGCAAAGTTTATGGCAGCCCCAAAGATATGCAACCAGAACTACAGCCTAAGCTTAATTAATTTTTTCAGCTTTAAAACACTCTAGCATCCCTCTAATGATAAGGTCATGACTCCTCACCCAGCAGTGATCATTGCTTCTGGAAGTTTTTGAGGCCATGCAATGAACTAGCTCTGTACTACCTGAAAAAAACAGCCTTTTCTCTCTTCGCGTGCCCCTTTTTTTTGTGGGCACAGGGTGGAGGAGAGAAAGATGGAAAAATTAACTGTTTCACTTGGATCAGTTAACCGGTTGAATAGATTTTTGGCAGCAAAAACGTTTGTTCCATGACAAGAGAAGGGGCAGTGGAGTGGCAGGAGCGGGCATAGCTTTTCACAGCAGTTGAAGCAGAGCCTTTGCACAGAGTATCATTACTGCCCAGCACCTTACAGCCCTTTGGAAGGGTTAGGAATATTCGAATTGCACCATCAGAGTCAATTCCTGACCGATGAGAAACAAAGGAACATATTTACTCTAAAAATGGATTAATAAATTTGGTGCAACTCTGCAATCTGAAAACATCCATTTTCTAACTTGCACTATAAAACCAGATCTGGGATCTTTCCTCCTGGCATCAGCCATTTTAAATGTAATGCAGTTAAATGATGCCATCAGTTAAAGCTTATGTGAACTGCCTAGATTCTAGGTAAATATATTTTTATCAGGATTTTTGTAGAAGATACACCAAACAAGACTCTGTGTCAGGTATGCAAAGCATAACATAGTATATGCGTAAAGTATTTGGCCTGATTTTCATATCCCAGGTCAAGTTTGCTGATATTTCAATTAGAAAATAATCTTTTTAATCAGAGGAACTTCTACAGTATCTGAAGGGACTACAGGGAAGCCAGAGAGGGACTCTCTGTTAGGAACTGTAAGGATAGGACAAGGAGTTATGGATATAAATTGAAAGAGGGGAAATTTGGATTAAGTATTAGGAAGCCAGATTTTAATGTGAGGGTGGTGAGACACTGGAACAGGTTGCCTCAGGAGGTTGTGAATGCCCCAGCCCTGGCAGTGTTCAAAGCCAGGTTGGATAAAGCCTTGAGTAACTTGGTCTAGTGGGAGGTGTCCCTGCCCAGGGCAAGGGGAGTTGGGACTAGATGATCTCTAAGGTCCATTCCAACCCCTTAACATACTATAATACTATGAATTAGTTCTAAGTGGAAATCAAATTCATGCATTCTAACCTAGCAACTTGTCTAACTTTCCTACAGCAGCAATTTGCAGGCTTCTTACTATGGGAATGACCTTCTGGAAATAATTTTTTTCCAATCAAAAGCTGCCATGTTCTCCTGACCTTAAAACAATCTTGTGACTCTGCTTGATTTCACAATTTCGTATGTCAGACACATTAACCTATATAATGCCTATATAATCCTCAGATTGTCATGGACTTTTGCTCCAGACCAAAGGAGAACAGCATTCCACCTAGCATCAGGTCTTTTCAGCAAAACTTCTTTCCAAAACTCATTACTGTCTTCGAAAATTTTAATACCTCTTTTAATTTACTATGACATCTTGGTACAATTTTCATTTCAATTAGAACAGAAGATAGACAGATTTTCTTGGCCTCTCTCCAGCTATGAATTTCTCATGTACAGTCCACTTGGGACTGAACATCTGATATTGCATTTCAGATGTTTTCTCCGTAACTCAGGAAAAGCAACCCCGCAAGTGATTTTCTTTTGACACACTTAAATGGATGCCAGGAACTAGGATCTATCATTTGGCAGCCAGCCAGCAAGGAAGTCTACAAACTGTTTTCACCTTCATTCCAGTATTGGGAGTTAAAATTAACTATTTCACAACTAAAGCATAATCCCTGCAATTTCCTCACATGAATGCTAACTTGAAAATAGGATTTCCACAAGTCACAAGCCTCCATTTGCTGACACGAAGGACAGCTTGGCTGCTGAGTGCATACACTGGGTGACTGCTCCCTTCTAAATGCATTCTCAAGTTCTTCCTGGCAATTTTTCCACACTCCTATTTGTTCCCTTCCAGGACACATTATACAGAAAACACCAACCCATCCTTACAGAACAGCACACACTTACATTACACTATTGAAGAAAATAGAAAGGATATACACATTCTCAGGGAAAAACTCAACATTTCTACAACTAGGAAGAGCACTAGCTAGGTGCTCTTTAACCCCTGAGAAAACTACACTTAAATGCCAGATAACAGATATCAAGAAATTAAAGAAATTAAATATATGATAATAGATGGATAAAAATCTTAACAGTAGTGGTGTCATACTCATAAGTTTTAACACAAGAAAAGTAAGGTCTGAAGGAAAATACATTTTTAATTAAACATATGATACAGATAGAATAAAGTGTTATTAGCATTTCTGTCAAAGGAAAATTCAGCCAAAAGATTGAAATGGTTTGTGAGTTCCTTCTGGTCATGATT